ATCAGGTGGTCGGACACATTATGCGATATCGTGATATTGTTACAGACCAAAGTGATCACAGACTAGATCCTTTGGGACGTCAAAACGAACACCGGGACTGCCGCCAACACCGAGCTTCTCGCAGTGGGAGGTACACACCATGTAAGTTCATAATTCTTCTAATGATAGCGTGGGCGTCAGAAAAACGAAAGGATTGACCATGGTTCATGCGAATTTGTCGAAGCCATTCTCACGATAGGTGGGGGCGTGCATTAAAATTTAAGGTCCTTTTGTAAAAAAAAACTCATAGCTTTGTTGCAATGAGTCTATAACGTGGAAAATAAGTGGTTAGAGGCTATGGGAGGAGCTCTGACATGAAAGGAGTTTGCACCAAGGTGCGTGGAGCTCAAAACAGGAACTCGTAATGTGGTCAAAAGTGAAAAAATTGGACGGAGGTAATAGAAGGGGAAGCTGACCGAATTTTCGAAGCAGGCGGGGCGTACAATAATTGTAAGTAAGGTAGGCGGAGCTCAGATCAAAAATTCACTATTGTGTTCATAACTTTTTAGAATGCGGATAGATGTGGTAAGAAGTAACGGAAGATGTGTGGCCAAAGCCTAAAGTGGAGGGGATTTGCACTTAGGTGGGTGAGGTTAAGACTAAAAATCCATATTTTTGTTCAGATACACTCTAGAATGCGGGGAAAAGTGGTTAGAGTAAGTAGAAGAATTGTGGTAAAATCCCTGAGGTGGGCAGGATTTGTGCCTGTGTCGGCTGGGCTAGGATCAAAATTTACGGCTCAGCTTTGAATCGCCTCAGGATGCGAAGAAAGTGGTTAGGGGCTGCTAAAGAAGGGTTGGCAAATATTTAGTGGGAAGGGTCCGCACTGAGGTGGACGGGGCTAAAATCAACAACTCGCAATTCTGCTGAGATGAAATATTTCGAGCGGAGCCCTCAAGGCAGTCCCAGCGTCAAAGTCTAGAGAGAACTATCTCATTCTAGTCCCTCTAATATTCCAAATAATGACTTCATCTAGGTGAGCGGTTGTGGATATACAGTAGTGCTGAAAAGTTTTCAGCGGAATGCTTGAGTTTTACTTTTCAGTCGTAACTCCTTTCTGGCTTGATGTAATCATGCGAAATTCCAATATGTGTAGCATGGGTGTATTGTGAATATTTACCACTATTAACCTGCAATCTGATCGTGCTCCAGATATACCAAAGGGCTTGTATCCAAAATCAACTGGAAATAGGGACACTGGTACTTCTAGGATTTCTTTTCTTTTTGACATGTCCAAAGTATACGAGCGTCTATACCGAACACAGTAGAGAAGAATAACGCACATGTTCCTCGCGATCATACACCATGCGATGGATCTGTTCATACCTTGTAAAAGGCTCTCTCCATCAGTGTCCAAGTTACCCTCTTATCTTGTATCAATGTGGAACAGAAGGGAACAGCTTTGGAATTCAGCCGTGAATACGCAACAGCCTTAGGAATGGGAAAGATATAACCTATTAGATAAGAAGTACACTAAGAAACTGAGTAAATACTACGCTTATGTTGAGGCCAAAATGATGTCCAAGGGTGGAGTAAGAGGTCTTTATTCAATCTTGAAATCGAGGCTTTCAGATAAGCCACGCATTGCTACTTTATGCAAGGATTCAATGAGGGCAGTAACTGATGAGAATAAAGCTGAGATGTTAGCCGATAATTTTGAAAAGGCTTTTGCTTCATCTTGCCCTGTATTGAAACCTCTGTTGTATCCTAATATTGATTGCGCTGACCCTGCTCCTTGGTTTTATAAAGAGGATATTGCGAGGATTTTGCTTGAGTGGGCTTCATCAGCCTCAAATAACCCTGATGGACTACCATACTTAGTTATCAAGCAATGCATTCATGAAATCACTGGCCCTCTTGAGTTCCTATTTAATCTTAGTTTCATGAACAGTGAAGTGCCTCGTAGATGGAAACATGCTATTGTCATTCCGCTGCCCAAAAAAGAACCGCTTTCTGATCCTGGAAACTATAGGCCTATAAGCTTGACCTCTATTTTCGCCAGAGTTTTTGAAAAAATTCTCAGGAAATACATGGTTTCTCATATTGATAAGTTTAGAATAATTCCAAATTCCCTTCATGGTTTTTGTAAAGGTAGATCTATTGAGACTTCTTTATACAGGATTGTCTCAGTGAC